TTGTGTTAATGGAGGAAGTTAAGAGCCCAACTTTATTTAAAAGGCCCAAACATATTAGGTTATAAAAGGCCCATATGTATTTGAACAAGCAAGTCGGCTTTTTTTGGGTCCAATATGAACCAAAACTGCGTGCCGTTTTTTGATCTCATATACCGGGGATGATGTTTCTAGCTTTAAAGAAATGTTTGTTGTCCAAAGGAATAGTGATTAGTCTCGACATTGTTCTATTGAGAAGAAGAAAAGTTCTTTTATTTTTTTTTGGTCTTTGGTAACCGAAAAGTTTCGAATCATAAGTTTGTAATCTCTTCGGACCGAAGACTACGATTAGTAAACTAATCTTCTCACTAATAGTAAAACTCGAATCTATGGAAATGGTGTATTAGTTGTGGTATATCAATAGAATAGAACTACCATTTAAAAAGAAAGCCTGTTCATTTTTCGATATGATATCTAAGTTCATATTATAAGGTTAATATCGATATTAAGGAAAATGCAGATTGATGAATTATGAATATCAATCATATTAGTTAAAGATAAGTATCACTAATTCAAGTGCAATTAACTCAGCCGATATAAAAAGTAGGGTTAAATCAACTTTAATAAAGTAGTTTTTGAGTATATGGCGTCGTTTTTATCAAAATACAATTAGGTTCCTTACGATGAGTGGACAAAAAGAATGTAACGATCACTTTCCTCGAGAATATCACAAAAGAATATTATTGGTATCCAATCCCATGAACATTTGTATATACTCATTAGAAAGCATAAAGATAAATAGAGATTAACACAAAAGATTTTAAGGATATTAGTAAGATAATATGTATAAACACAATATATTACGAAAAGGTTTTATTTTGGCGAAAGTGGGATATTTATATGCACATTTAAATAATGGGAGTTTGGTAGAAAACTTTATAGTATATGTTTGTAATAGATATATACTATTAGTTTCTTCGTTTTTTTCTCTACTTTTTCCTTTTTTTTTAATGTGGTTTTTTTAGTGATATTAGCAAAGCAAAATGATTGTGTCGAGGTCTCGTGGAAGACAAATTTGGATACAACCCTACTGTTTTTCAGATTGGACCAATGCACAAAGACATGGATAATTTATAATGCATACAAATATGTACTGTAGTGGAAGAATAATGCACAAATAACATCAAAGCTGGTTTTGATCAAATCGTTTGCAAATGTTATTCTCTNCCTATATTATTGAGATGGACTTGTTTATATTGGGGACTTTTAAAGTCTATGTCCAACTCTCCCATTAGTATGATATTATCCGTTTTAAATTCAGAGGCAAAGCCTGCACGGATTTGTTCTTGGGCTCCTTTCCAAAAGGCCTCATACTAATTGGAGTTGGACATTATTTATATACTAGACAATTCATGTCTAAAATTTGGATGTGGGACTTGGATTGATATCCCAACAATTTTTCGCTCAAACCAAGTACCACATAAACTCGTGGCCTTCTACCTTTAGCGAAACCTGGTACCCTTCTTGTACCACTTGTATTCTTGACACCTTTATTCGCGAGGTTACCTTTTGAGGACTTACCTCCCACAACGAACATGTCCAACCCACTTCTCTGAACCGAACATGTCCAATCCACTTCCCCAGGTCCACTTCTCTGAACCTTGGCTCTGATACCATTTATTGGGGCTTTTCAAGCCCATGCCCAACTCCCCCATTAGTTTGATATTGTCCGCTTTGGGTCCAGAGGTAAAGTCCGCACGGATTTGTTCTTGGGCTCGTTTCCAAAAGACATCATACTAATTGGAGTTAGATATTATTTATATACTAGACAATTCATGTCTAAATTTTAGATGTGAGACTTGGATTGATATCCCAACAGTTTAACGATTTCAATAAAAACGAGAAAGAACATTATATGATTTTACACATGTGAAATATCAACAATCATTAAAACAAAATGAATGACAAAATATATCGACAAATAGTTGGTTCAACCGACTGAAATCAAGTGCTTCAGTTATGTCGAATCTAAGAAATGAGTATAACTCTATGCTATTTGCAAATAAAGTAATGAAATAATATCGGTGATTATACTACATGCACTATAGTATTAATTTTTCTAATAAAAAATAATTTAAAAGAAGTATAGATCTTGGGAAATGTTGGAGCCAATAAATGACAAATATCTAGAAGCTAAACTTACGGGGTAAAGACAAGAAAACAATAGTACTACAAATAAGCTTAAATTCTTTCTTAAAAAGAAACAATATACTCATTGAAACAGCTGGATTTTTATAGAATGAAGAGAGTTTTGGTTTTGTCAGCCAAAGAGTATTTATGATTAGTGATAAGTGTTGAGGACATCGCATTAATCAATAAAAACTTTCATATAAATCATAAATGAATTGGCCAATGGATACATCGTTGATGACTGGAAGCTCGATCAAGCAGCTGGATCTTTCAGAATTAAGAGGCTCTAATATCAATGTCATCAATAACATTGATTGCTATGATTTATACAAACATTTTAAGTGGTTATGATAGATTAACATTTGTCAAAAACTTATGGATTGTTACCTAATTAGTTTTACGAGTAATATATGCACATACAATAAGTAAGCATGCAAAAGGCGAATAAAAAGCCCTTTTTC